TAGTTAATATTTTTAGAGCCCTTTTTTTTTTCATTATTATTATGGAAGCTTTAATAATAAAAAGAAAAAGAAAATTTTAAAAATCTAACCGTAGTACCTATATAAACCTTTTAATGAAACATGCATAAACGAAGGATTACTGCCTAAATATTCTTCCTATATATATAAACTATATATATATTTGAAACTGGTTAGTTATATAGATATATATTTATATAAGTTTTTAGGTGTGCTATACTTATCGCCGAAAAAATAATAACCGAACTACCATCCATCAGGATGAACTTTTTCATGTTCTCCTCTTTTATTCCATCTTATAATAAGAGGTTTTTATGAAAACTTTTCCTCTCTTTTTATTGTCCTGATTCATCTGGATACTGTTCTTTTTCATTTTCTCCTTTAATCCCTTTATTGTTTTAATACAGGCTTTAACTTATTTAATTATAAGCTTTATAGATCACCACTGGACAATATTAAATCTTCTTAATCAGCACATCCTAGACCATAAAAAATTTTGATCTGTCTATATCTCTGAGATGAGCATAAAATTAATACAATATCTAAACCATTTGAATAAGGAGCTAGAGAAAATCAATGAATAGCAACAAAAATTGCAATATAAGTGTCATAAAAGTAAAAGATCCTGTAATAATCACAAAAAAAATTGCAAGTTCAACACTGGTAAAAAAGCACTTGAACTGAAACATTGGGTGTTGAGTTAAAAATAACTATACAGAGATGATCCAGTGGATAAAGAACTAGAACAGATCCAGTTGACTAGACTAGTTCAGTTCGAAATTCCAAAAAAATATACTTGGAGAGTTGAGTTAAAGGTAAAAAATTGTGAATATGGCAATGAAGATGGGGATAACAGTCCGAATAATGTAAATAATGTATACTAATTTTTAGTTGAAGCATTTTCGTTTTTATTATTTTATTAATAGTTTTAAATCATATTATTATTATAATTATTATTATTTCCAGGCCTTGCTCCTTGAACTCTTTCTATTCTTCTTCTTCTTATTATTATTATTATTATTATTATTATTATTATTATCGCTAATGGGGTTAACGCTTCTTCCATGAAAATGGTCTGCCAAGGAGTGGAATGTGAGCTTCAGCCTTGTTGCGATCCACTTGTTTACATCCGATTTAGCGCCATCATTCGGAGAATATAGCAACTGTGTGTGCTATAATAGGTTCTAGAACAGTTAATGGTAATGATAATGATAGATATTTCCTTATAAAGAAACATTCGGCATTCATTGATCAAACAGCCGGTGCTACTGTCAGTTGAAATTTATAAAATCTTTCTATTAAAACAATTTTTCAGCAAAATATTTTTCTAAAATCTAATATGTATTATATCTCTTTCCAGTACCGATGTGGGTTTCCTTCCTAATCTTTTGTTCGAAGTAGTGTGGAACGTCAACATCTTTATGATGTCATTATTTCTTCTTCGAGTGCTATCCATTTTAGTTGTTGATTCTGTTGAAAGTCTTGAAGTGATTTAGCTTCTGGGTTCTAGGACAGTTGGGTACTGGACATTTGCGTCCCGGACGACTGCGTTCCTGAACATTTGCGTCCGGGACGACTGCGTTCCTGAACATTTGCGTCCGGGACGACTGCGTTCCTGAACATTTGCGTCCCGGACGACTGCGTTCCTGAACATTTGCGTCTCGGACGACTGCGTTCCTGAACATTTGCATCCCTAGACAAATGCGTACCTCTGATCATTTTTTGGAAGCATTTAAAGGCAATTACCATAAATTTTGAAAAAATCATAGATAGTAATCATAATTTTAAAAAAAAAAAAGGAATAAAAGAAAAGGAAAATTAAAAGTTTATTTTTTGTTTAAAATATAATGACAGATCAACAGTGTTGCAAGATCGCTCTACACATCTCCAATATGTTTTTGTTTCATCGGCGTTTTTCTCATGATAGTGCTCGCTGTCATTTTCCTCGTCCATAAATATCTTTCCACCAGTGTTTGATTTTTGGAACTTAGCCATAGGTTCCAAATAAAAATATAATCCCATAAAATCCAGAATCTATTAGATGTTTGTGATACACATTGCTGGAGTGAACTGTAACTGTTAGCTTAATTTTCTCTTGGCTTAAAAAGATTTTTTTTTCTCTTTTTCTATTTTTGGTAACTCCTTTTCTGCTTGTTTTGAGTAATTAAAGGTATTGTGTGCAAATTTCTATATTAAACAACTCTTTAAAAAAAAATGGTAACTTCAAAAGATTATCAGAGGTACGAAATTATCCATGAGACGCATTTGTCTAGGGACGCAAATTTCCAAGGACACAATTGCCCACCGCTATAATGAAATGCCATAATAATAACAGACAGTATAACACATAATGCAATGGTAATATGCGCAAAAATTCTTCGGCTGGAAGTCTTCAATGTCTAGAGACTTCATTCCTTCTCAGATTTTCTGTATTTTCTGCCTCTTTAGAACTTTTTTTTATCTTGTTTTGTAAATTCTTGTTTTTCAAAACAAATTTCTATAGTGTTCCCACTGACTTTTTAATTATATGAATGTCTTTTTGTCACAATTCTTAATATGGATGTGATTGTTGTAATAATTCACACTAGTATTAAATGGTAATTCCTGCAGAAATCAAAAGACACTAATTTTTTTTTTTTTTTTTTTTTTTGTTTGTTTTTTTTTATTCACGACGTTTCGGCCGTTGAACGCTCCGGCCTTCTTCAGGTGATACGAATTTGGAACTGAAATCTTTATTTCGTCCACCGGGCTAGATTTTTCTAGATCCACGTGCCATGCCTTTTCCGGATATCTCACTTTCAGTTATTTCCCTTTAGTAAGTCAAATCTCCAAATTTTTGTGAGCCTCTGCTGAAGCCAGACATTAAACTCTTTCGGTCAAGTCACTGTTTTTTTTTCATTATTATTATTATTATTTTATGAGCTGTGTCCCTTCAGAGGGTTGGCGATCATGGCTCTCCACAATTTCCTGCCCTTTGTAGCTCTTAATAATTTTTCCTTTTTGTTATCTTTCCTAATCCTTGTTCCCCCATCCATTTACACAAGCTTTCTATTCTTCTTCTATGTGCCTTGTCTCATCAGGACGTTGACGATCATGGCTCTCCACAATTTCTTGCTCTTTGTAGCTCTTTTATTTTTGTGTGTTTTGCCATCCTTCCTAAACCTTGTTCAACCACTCATTTACGCAGGCTTGTTTGGGCCTCAACTTCGCTATAGACCTGACGTAGAAATCATATATACGATCCGTTGCTAAAGATGTTGGAAAAGGGGTCGGCTCATTCTATCACCCCGGAAAGTGCCTGTCTCCTTCCGCCATGCTTTATATGTACAAGAATCAAATTAAACCAAAAGTGAAGTATTTCTGCCTTATCTTGACTGGAGCTGTTCACTTTTCTGCCTTAATAGAGTCCGAAATCGTTTACGTAGTCTTATGGAGGAAGACATATTCTCCACTCTTCACTTGACGCTACATCACAACCTTATCGCTCATCTACTTCAGTAATTGATCTTTATCTATAAAAGGCAGGATGTGTGTGTGTGTGTGTGTGTGTGTGTGTGTGTGTGTGTGTGTGTGTGTGTGTGTGTGTAACGAATGCACGGTCGCAATTTTCGATGGATTTGCACCAAAATTTACATGCACATGCACCAAGTGAGCACGAAGGCCAAGACCGACTTTGCATTTCCCAACTCCCATCGATAGTGGAAATAATCGATTTTTTCATGCTTCTACGGCAGTTTTCATGTAGTTTGCGGCCATTTTGTACTGGCCAGAGTGAGATACTATAGCTGGCTGCCACGAATAGGCAGGAAGATTCTATTGGCCAGCGTGAGAGCCAACAGCTGACTGACACGAATGTTAACTAGCAAGCAAAAAAAATCGATAGCTGCATTCGTCACAAGTGGGAAAAATTTAAATCTGCATGACACTTTACTCCAATTGGCTCATTCGCTTGCTTAAACTCAACGTTGATTCTGATTCCGCAGAACTGGGTTGGGTGTGAAAAAGTATTTGATGTTAACATTCTTTTTTCATTCGGTTTTTTCAGTTCTTTTTTAAAGTTGATCGTTTTGTATTCATTTTGTTTAGTTCTTTTTTCGTAACAGGTTTAATGTTTAGTATAGAGCTTAGAAAAATTCGCTGTGAAGGCAAGAAGTAAGGCATGTAGCAACATCAGCACAGCAAAGGGCACTCCTTTAAAGGCAAGGAAGAGCAAAAATATTTTAAGTCAAGTGATAGCGATTGCTGTATGAGTCGTACGATTTTTGAATCAAGCACGGGCAACGCCGGGCCCTGCTGCTAGTTCCAAATAAAAGCATTCCATCATCAGCCATCAAAACCCTAAACCGTTTCTCCAATCTTGACGGACGGTTGTATTCTCAATGATGTTCCATTCTTTGAACGTCTACTGTGTCTCACGTTCAACCCAAACCCTAAGTGGAACCAGTGTATGCGATCCACTGCTAAAGATGCCCACTCTACAACTGCGTGAAGTACCAGACTCCTTCTGTAATTCTTTATCATTACAAGAGTCAGATGAAACCAAACCTAGAATATTATTGTCATGTCTGGGCTGGAGCTGCTTAATCTTCACCTTCCATGATCGGCTACGTCCTAAAGGGACACGGCACATAAAAAGAAGGGGGGATTAACACTAGAAGAAAGTGCTGAAGGCTAGAGAAACAAGAAGAAGCAGTATGTAACCAGCTTAACGTGTATGCGTGAATGGATGACAAAACAGCGACAATGTGGAGCTACGAAAGATAGGAAGCTGGGGGGTCGTTTTTTTACGGTTTATTAATTTGCTAATTAATCCTTAGTTTTACTTGCTAATTAATCCGTGGCTGGGGGAGAAGAAATGAATTCATACCATTCCCAAAGGTATTTGAGCGTAAGTGAAATTAACGAAACCAACTCGAATTAAAACACGGTTTTCCGATTAACAATTCCGAGCCATTATCCATGACACCATCCGCATATCCAAGCTTACAGTATCTGATATTTCCAAACGGTCACCCAACTAGGTACTGGCCAGGCTCGACATTGCTTAACTTTGGTGATCGTATGGGAACGGGTGTTTGAAAGTGATATGGCCGTAAGCCTTAGGAAGTTGTAGAGAGCCATGATCATCCACGTCCCGATAGGATATAATCTATTAAAGGAATACGTAATGTTAAACTATTCAATTCATTCAAAGTCATTCAATTTGGCATGATTTAATGAGTTTTGCTCAAGAGGCCCGACATGCTCTAATTGTCAGCTATTCTTATGAAATGAAAGTAATACATAAAAGAATTAACACTAATGACGTAATAACAACGTTTTTCCACCTACAGTATAAACTCAATAGGAATCCTCAACGTGTGTGAGCTGGTTGAAATTGTACTGTTATATATATCTTTGATTTTGAACATTCCCAAAACTCTGATTCCTCATTGTGGAATCACCACCTTAGCACAAACACGAACATATATATATATATATCAGAAAATCAGATTACGCCGTGCCGTAGGAACAGATCTCCGACGTAAGTCAAGGACCCCCTCTCATAGTTCAAGCAGTAAAAATTTGAAGTGTAGCATTTAACTGACCAACTGAATCGATCAATCTTGTTGATCATTTCGCTCGGAAGGAATATAGTTTTTTAATTGAAATATTTGTTAACATTTTGGTTGTAATAAATATAGATAACGTGTCAGTGCTAACTCCTGTCCATGTAATTTTGCTTCTTTGATATTAAATCAAATGGAGGTAGGGACTGTGGATGCACCTTCGAGCAACATTTGCTTACCCCACTTCTCCAAGTGGGTATTTTAATCCTCATATTTATACCTGAGGTTTCCGGTCGGTACGATGTTCCTGACACAAGAAGTTCTGTTACCTTGATTTATGGGTAGACGAGACATGTACACTCTGGGTATCGGGGTCTGTATCTTCGTTCCTGGATTATTTATCTCTTCATTAAGGTAAATATTTTCTGGGTTTTGGCGTTATCCACCTGGTAGTCAACGATCTAAACCTTTGAGTAACTTCAAAGGAGGTTATGCTATCAGCAGGTGTATAGTATCAGGCCTATTGTACTGGCTATTGTAATGCCTATTGTATCAGGCCTATTGTACTGCCTATAGTATCAGGCCTATTGTACTGCCTATTGTATCAGGCCTATTGTACTGTCTATCGTACTGCCTATTGTATCAGGCCTATTGTACTGCCTATAGTATCAGGCCTATTGTACTGCCTATTGTATTAGGCCTATCGTACTGCCTATAGTATCAGGCCTATTGTACTGCCTATCGTACTGCCTATTGTATCAGGCCTATTGTACTGCCTATAGTATCAGGCCTATTGTACTGCCTATTGTATCAGGCCTATCGTACTGCCTATAGTATCAGGACTATCGTACTGCCTACTGTATCAGACCTATTGTACTGCCTATTGTATCAGGCCTATCGTACTGCCTATAGTATCAGGCATATTGTACTGCCTATTGCATCAGGCCTATTGTACTGCCTATTGTATCAGGCCTATTGTACTGCCATTTTTTGCATTTCCTGTGTGCCTACTCTTCTGCAAAATTCACATATGAACTCAAGCAAACTGAAAAAAATCAGCAAACCCAACCTCAAACAAAAACATAGACCCCAGTTTTGCCATCTGTAGTGGTAAACCCTCCTACAGTAGAATGAACTCTTCCTCCTCTCATAAATACTAACTGCGAGACTTCCTAAGGGGCGTCTTTGAGCAGCCGAGAAGCAGTGTAACCTGATCGTTCGGACGGACACTTCTCTCTGCTTATTACTAACACTCTTACTTTGCATATAGCTGTTATTTCAATATATTGTTCAACCTACCTTTGTCTTCCGTGTCTTTCTTTGTCTGGCCCCTAAACAGGCCACACCTTCTCTTACAGCAATGTGAGGGGGGTTCGTCCCAATTTACCAGAGGTACAACTCAATCTTATTGAGGCCAAACCCGACCTCCTGAAACCAGTATCAATACCTACAACCCGCTAGAGGAGCTCACAGTGCAAGGCTACTCACCTCTTATAGGGAACTACAACCACCTAAATCGTCACGGTCACGGACTCAAAGCCTATATCAAGGACGAGTTTCCCTGTGCCATGGACGAAAAAAAACGAGGACCCTGATCTCCCGTATATGTGCTTCCGCTTAGCACTTATCCATAGTACCACATTCATCTTTTCTCTCTATCGCCCTCGAAGCGACGGTAATCTTCGATCGAATATCTGAGAAAGTTGATAATTTCCTCACCGAATTTTCCTCAGATAACTTTCATATATGTGATGACTTCACTATTCACCACAAAGAGTGGAGTTACTTCTCTCGAACAAAACTGATGAAGAAGGCAGATACGGCAGAGACTTCTCCATCACCTATGAACTAACTCAGATCATCGAAGAACCCATCCGCGTTCCTGATGGAACAAGATATCAGACGAAAGTCCTTGACTTCTTCCTCATATCTTACGCTGATAAATGCTTCACAGAATGTCATAAAATTCTCTAGTCAGTGTCCAAATTGGTGCCAAACAAATGCATCCTTTGATTTGCCGTTCCACGGAACTATTTTTCGCTACAGGAAGGTAGACTTAGACAGCTTTAGTTCTTATATGGCGGAAGCTCTTCTCTCAAATTTCTTCCAATATGCTCCTTCCAAAACTACTGCCCTAGTCTCAGAATGGATTCTTTCTGGAGTGGAAAGTTTTAATGCCCTCACAAAAATTTCAAACAATAACCGAACAACCATCCCTAGTTCACCCCTGAATGTGCTTCAACCAGAACTCATCGTAACCAGTCAGTTATGTGCCATGCGTGATACACGCTTAGGCGATCTTTTGATACATGACTGACGAAGCAGATTTTTTCCCGCAGTAAGTTGCCATTTCTTTCTGTGGTAGACCAGTTGCCATCCAAAGCTATAGAACCCGGTCTGTCCTGCTATTTACCCATAGATATTGGGAGAAGGAGAGGAATCATACCTATCCCAGGGGTATTAGCACGTAAGTGAATGTAATGAATCAGTACTTCAATATTTATCACAAGGAGCGGTGTAAATGAACACTTGCTGTATTCGGAACTGTCCAAAATCGCTGCAAGAAGGCTCTGGAAAACGCAAAAACGACTCCGAGCTCTTGTGGGTGACGTATTATTCTCCACTCTTCAACTTCTCTCCCACAGGCGGGATGCAACAAGTCTCTCCCTATTCTACTGCGCTAAGGTTGAAAACAAATAAAATGGATCCCCAGAGTTCTGGAAGATTTTCAATCAAATTCTGAATCACTATAATAAATGGCCATCTCTTCCTCATCGAAGCCATCTCTTCCTCGTCGAAGTCATCTCTTCCTCGTTAGCAAAGCATTTAACCTCAACATTTGCCCCTAACTCAACATTAGAAAATATAAGACATCGTCTTCCCGACTTCCTCCGTCTCACTGAGAATAATCTCAGTAGTATGTTTTTATTATAGCCAAGAAAGTCTCAAGACTTATCAAAAGTTTTGACCCTAAAAAAAGACACTGTCCCAAACAAAATTCCAGTGGGATAAAGAATACCAACTCATCCCTATCGCCGATCTTAGCGAAATTATTTAACAGCTGCTTGAAGAAAAAATTAAAAGATTCCTAGCTCTTCCGGCTAATCTATCGTTATGAGAGCACAATCCCCGAGTTCCCATGTCTCACTGTGCACAATCTTAAAATCTCACATTACCATCACAGCACGAGAAATCTCGAGACTTATCAAAGGCCTTGACCCTAAGAAAACCACTGGACAAAATTCCAGTGGTTGTCCTTAAGAATATAAACCCGGAATTATCCCCAATCCTAGCAAAGTTATTCAACCATTGCTTGAAGGAGAAATCCTCCCCGAGCCTTTGGAAAGTGTCAAGCGTATGCCCGGTTTTCAAGAACGTGGGCATGCGATCTTCCCTATCTCAGTACAGACCCAACAGTCTCCTCATTATTATCAGTAATCTTTTTCAGGCCATATTTAATAAGGTCGTCTCGCACCTAGAAAAGAACACCCTCTTCAGTATGGGTTTTGGTCGGCCCGATTCATTGCCAACGTCCTAATTACCATCACTCACAGAATCAGTGAGACTCTTAAGGGCAAACACGCCTCGAGGACCATAGCACTAGATATCTCAAAGGCCTTCGACAAGGTGTGGCCCAAAAGCTTACTACACAAGCTCTCCAGTGATAGAATCACTAGAAGGATCTTCTCGATCATAAAACCCTTCCTAATAAGTTCATGAAGGTAGTAATTAACGGCGTGTCCTTCGGAGCCCTAGAGGTCAACGCCCTCTAGGGGTCACTCCTCGGACCAACCTTTTTGTTGATCTACATAAATGATCTGCCTAAGAATATACTCAGACCATTTGTAAACATCTATGCCGATGATAGGGCTATATACGGGCGCACCTCTAAAATTCTCGATGGTCAGAGAATGGCGACTGATCTCTCTTCCGATCCTACACAAACTACCCAATGGGGTAAAAACTTGCTGGTTACATTCAATGCCTCGAAGACCAAGCTAGTTACATTCAATCATCACCGATCTGACCCCGAACTACCACCAATCAGGATGAACGGAGTTCCTCCCGGGAAAGCACCCCCGTGCCTTAAAAAACTGTTGGGCCTCAAACTCACACCCGACCTCAAGTGGAACTCGTACATATGATCCACTGCTAAGGATGCGGGTAAAATGGTCGGCCCTCTGTACCGCTCCAGTAAGTACCTGACATCCCCTGCTATCATCTACCTTTACAAGAGACAGATCAGGCCAAACATGAAGTACTGTTGTTATATTTTGGCGGGAGATACCCACGCCCACTCTCCGGCCTTCATAGAGTTCTAAAAAAAAACTTCGAACTCTTGTGGGTGACGAATTATTCTCCAATCTTCAACTTCTCTCCCACAGGCGGGATGTGACAAGTCTCTCGCTATTCTACTGCTACTTCCACAGAAAGTGCTCGGACGAACTACATTCCCTGGTCCCGCCAAGACAAAACCTTCACTGCAAAAACACACCATGCCACTTACATAGTAGCAAATCATCCATATTCCCTCCGTATTCCATCGG